CTCGTTGGCGCTGAAGTAGCTTTTTTGTTCCTCTGTTTGTGTTGTTAAAAACGGTGTTTGTCCTGTCTGCCTGCCGCCCGCGGCACCGGCCCGGCGGCGTGGGGCAGGGCTGTCGGCGCTGGGAGCGCTCCGCACTTCTCTCCGCAGCAAAAAAAACCTCGGTCGTGGCTGGTTTCTGGATGTAATCTGTTGTTGTTTGCTTTGCTACAAACAGGGGAAGCACGGAGTACCTTCGGTTTGCCGCATACTGGATCTGTTTGGCTTTTGCTCGTTTACAGTCACTTTGTCTTTTTACTCGCTGGCTGATCGAGCTACCGCCCTTATACCAAAACTTCAGAGAACTCAGCCTGCAAGGCTTGGGTGCCCTGTCTTGTTCTGTGCTTGAGTTTTCAGTTGTTTGAGGCCATTAAGTTGGCGTAAGTATGAGGAATTTTGCTTTTTTCTAGCTTTTACTAGACACCTGTAAAGCACACAAAGTTCAATTTATTGTTAGAGTACCCTGGCCAGATGAAAAAAGGTGCACTTTTGCAGAATTACGTCCTCTTGTGAAATTGGTTGGCGCTTAGAAAGAAAGGTTTTATATTAGCAAAGTGATTGATTAGTTCTTACACTTCTCTCCCTCTCCTTGCCTAGATTGAGCGATTGGATGTCAGCAGCCTAGCGCAGACTTCCAGTGCAGTGGCCTCGAGCACCGATGGCAGCATCAATGCAGACTCTGTTGATGGGACCCCTGATCCTCAGCGTACGAAAGTGGCTATCACACATCTACAGCAGAAGATCCTGAAGTTGACAGAACAGATCAAAATTGAACAAACGGCTCGAGATGACAATGTGGCAGAGTACCTGAAACTGGCCAACAATGCAGACAAGCAGCAGACCGCCCGCATTAAGCAAGTGTTTGAGAAGAAAAATCAAAAGTCAGCCCAGACCATCTTGCAGCTGCAGAAGAAACTAGAACATTACCATCGAAAGCTGCGAGAGATTGAACAGAATGGGATCCCTCGGCAGACGAAGGACGTCTTCAGGGATATGCATCAGGGTTTGAAAGATGTTGGAGCAAAAGTCACAGGCTTCAGTGAAGGAGTAGTAGACAGCGTAAAAGGTGGGCTTTCCAGTTTCTCTCAAGCCACACATTCAGCAGCAGGAGCTGTGGTTTCCAAGCCCCGGGAGATTGCCTCCCTCATAAGGAACAAGTTTGGGAGTGCAGACAACATTGCTAACCTGAAAGACTCCTTAGAAGAAGGCCAAGAAGATGGGACAGGAGGCAAGGCTCTAGGTGTTATTCAGAACTTTCAGTCAAGCCCAAAATATGGCAGTGAAGAGGATTGCTCCAGTGCCACGTCAGGTTCAGTGGGAGCCAACAGCACAACAGGGGGCCCTGTGGGAGCTTCTAGCTCCAAAACAAACACTCTGGATATGCAGAGCTCAGGGTTTGATGCAGTACTGCATGAGATTCAAGAAATTCGAGAGACACAGGCAAGACTGGAAGAATCATTTGAGGACCTTAAGGTTCGCTATCAGAGGGATTACTCACTAATAATGCAGACTCTGCAGGAGGAGAGGTACAGGTACGTACTTTTGTACTTTGTTTTGGTACTCAGAGTTGCAGAGTCCTGGGTTAGTGCTACTTGGAAGACTGTTCCCAACAGCCAGATTCCAGTGGGAAGTTCTGCAACCTTCTCAGGACTTCACCCTCTCAGCTTTGTCTTTTGTGAATATTATCTTGCTTGTACTTCCGTTTCTGTACAAGAAAGAAATAATGAGGAAAAAGATTATTACATAGTGTTTTCAAGATAAAAAGGTAAGCTAAAGAAGTTTTGAAAGGTGTCCCAGAAGACCAGGAGTACCTTGATGCAGTAATCATTACTGTTTTGCTTTGCTCTGGAAAAATCCTGCAAAGGTTGCAGTCAGTGCAAGAGACAGGAGACAACATGTGGACAGTATCCTGCCCTGCCTCCTCTAACGCTCACACCCCTGTCTGCATCAGAGAAAGGAATACTTGGCTTTCGTGAGGCTCTCCAAACAGACATTGTCTTGCCCATGTGCTAAAACCAGAGTATCCTCTTCCCTTTTCTGCTTGGCCCCACAGTGGCAGGTTTTAGTGAAATGCAGTTGAATGCCATGGGGAGTGCTGAGGGATCACTTTACCTTCCTCTTCCATGCTGGGTGGGAGAGGCCTCTCAGCAGGCTGCCTGTGCTGTCCACCAGAATGTTTTGCATTGTCCCATCACACACCGTGATCAAGGGCTCACCCTCGATCCTCGGGCTCCAGGGGGAAGAGTTAACCAGCTGCCCCGCTGCAGCTCTTCAGAGCGCTGCAGTCTGCATCAGTGGGGCTCTTGAACCCCACCAGAGTGCTTTGTAAGCTTTAAATAACAAATGCAAGGGGCCTGACTCCTCATTCTGATGGAGGACAGCAGGCTTTTCTAATGAGGTTGCCTGTGACCTGTTTGCTTTGGCCAGTCTGTGAAGCACAAGCCCATGAGGCTCAGCAGAGCTGCTGGGTGTGGGGCAGGCTTTCTGAAGGCACTTGCTGTGTTGGTTTGCACCGTAGGAGGTGGAGTTGCCCTGGAGGTCTTTGGACATCCTGGTGCCAGGTCACTGGGAAAACATTTGAAAAGGCTCAGTCTGCTAGAGACAGCAAGCTTTCAATGTGCTTTGCAAAGCTTGGATAGATAAGCCAGACCAACACCGCTTCGTAATCCTTCTTTGCAACAATCCATCAGTTTGATCCAGACTGCCGCCCAGCACAGCAGCTTTGGCTCCTAGTGCCTCATTGTCATGAAGTCTCATAACAAAGTGATGTGGGGTTTGATCTTCTGCTCCCCAGCAGAGAGGGGTCCTGTTGTCTGTGGCTGTGTACGTTGTTGTTTCACGCATACAGCAACAGCCATTCATGGTGGAACACTGTGTGCAAGCACAGTACAGCTGAAGGAGCAGCCTCAAAGCACAGTACAAGACCTCACAGATTGATGTATGCTGTCAGCTAAACTGGCCAGTTGTTCCCTGAAACCATTTAGCAAGGTTCATGTAGGTCCTCAGACTAGTGTAGTATGAAGTCATACCTGTCATGTGCTGCTGATCTTTACTGAAAACTGCCCTGAGGTGAGCCCAGAGAGTGACCGCTAACCAAGAGCCTGGAGTGATAAGCTTCCAGGAGAATATGTATTTGGCTTATAAATGCTTAAAAAGATAGTAACTTACACTTGCTATTTGGAATGTTGATGCAAATTAATTAGAGGTGTGACCTGTAAAGAGGACCAGTTAAACCGTGCTACCTGCCTGTGTCTCTGCAGGCTCTCAGAGGTGAGCAGGCCACTGCACAATCCCCAAGGGCTAATTGCAGTGGGATCAATGCCTTATTGTACCCAGTAGATGGTTGATTGATAACTTCTGTATTTTAAAACGTCGTGAAGATAGAAGCCAGCATTGCCCTGAGAACAGGAAGGTTGCGTGGTGTGTCCGAGAGCAGAGAGGATGTTGTGCCTTGGCAGGGAGGGCTGGTGCCTGTTCCTCCAACTGGGAACCCCTCTTGTTCTTCAGCTCTCTTCAGAAAAAAAATGAAAAGATGGGACTGGAGGTTGTGGTTTGAAGCTGGGAGGTTGGGGATTCAAATTACTCATACTTGACTGTCTTTAGGAGGTATAAATACCTCCTAATTCTGCTCTATTTCTGGGAAGCTTTCAAAAACAAGCACTGAGTTCTGTTCGAGCTTAAAAAGTGTTTAGGAGAAGCCTTTGCTTGTAGGGCAGCACCGAGTATCTGTATTGTACCTGGAAGGTGGAACAAAGCACGTGTCAGACATTTTCTCACCCAGTCTTTGTCGATTTCCTCTTTCTCAGATGTTATTTTTGCGAGTTCTGAGCTTTTTTCCTTGCATGTTTGTGCAGTTTCTGTTTCTCAGCCATGGCTTGTCTCACAGCTTTTCCTGTGGCACTGACCTCCTCAGCCTCCTCCCTCCCTCCCCTCGCTTCCAGACCTGCCT